ACCATGGTCTAATAATCAAACATTCTGATTAGTTGATAATATTAGTATTAGTTGGGAAGTTTGTGAAAGATTCCTGTGAAAAGTTTCATTAACGCCTAATTCGTGTCGAGTAGACCTTGTTGTTGTCAGAATTCTTAATTCATGAGTTGTAGGGAGGGATTTATGTCACCACAAACAGAGACTAAAGCAAGTGTTGGATTCAAAGCGGGTGTTAAAGAGTACAAATTGACTTATTATACTCCTGAATACGAAACCAAAGATACTGATATCTTGGCAGCATTCCGAGTAACTCCTCAACCTGGAGTTCCGCCTGAAGAAGCAGGGGCTGCGGTAGCTGCCGAATCTTCTACTGGTACATGGACAACTGTGTGGACCGATGGACTTACCAGCCTTGATCGTTACAAAGGGCGATGCTACCATATTGAGCCCGTTCCTGGAGAAGCAGATCAATATATCTGTTATGTAGCTTACCCTTTAGACCTTTTTGAAGAAGGTTCTGTTACTAACATGTTTACTTCCATTGTAGGTAATGTATTTGGGTTCAAAGCCCTGCGTGCTCTACGTCTGGAAGATCTGCGAATCCCTACTGCTTATGTTAAAACTTTCCAAGGCCCGCCTCATGGGATCCAAGTTGAGAGAGATAAATTGAACAAGTATGGTCGTCCCCTGTTGGGATGTACTATTAAACCAAAATTGGGGTTATCTGCTAAAAACTATGGTAGAGCAGTTTATGAATGTCTTCGCGGTGGACTTGATTTTACCAAAGATGATGAGAACGTGAACTCCCAGCCATTTATGCGTTGGAGAGATCGTTTCTTATTTTGTGCCGAAGCACTTTATAAAGCACAGGCTGAAACAGGTGAAATCAAAGGGCATTACTTGAATGCTACTGCGGGTACATGCGAAGAAATGATGAAAAGAGCTGTATTTGCTAGAGAATTGGGAGTTCCTATCGTAATGCATGACTACTTAACAGGAGGATTCACTGCAAATACTAGCTTGGCTCATTATTGCCGAGATAATGGACTACTTCTTCACATTCACCGTGCAATGCATGCAGTTATTGATAGACAGAAGAATCATGGTATACACTTCCGTGTACTAGCTAAAGCGTTACGTATGTCTGGTGGAGATCATATTCACTCTGGTACCGTAGTAGGTAAACTTGAAGGGGAAAGAGACATCACTTTGGGCTTTGTTGATTTACTGCGTGATGATTTTATTGAAAAAGATCGAAGTCGCGGTATTTATTTCACTCAAGATTGGGTCTCTCTACCAGGTGTTATTCCCGTGGCTTCAGGGGGTATTCACGTTTGGCATATGCCTGCTCTGACCGAGATCTTTGGGGATGATTCCGTACTACAGTTCGGTGGAGGAACTTTAGGGCACCCTTGGGGTAATGCGCCAGGTGCCGTAGCTAACCGAGTAGCTCTAGAAGCATGTGTAAAAGCTCGTAATGAAGGACGTGATCTTGCTTCTGAGGGTAATGTAATTATCCGTGAGGCTAGCAAATGGAGTCCTGAACTAGCTGCTGCTTGTGAGGTATGGAAAGAGATCAAATTTGAGTTTGCAGCAATGGATACTCTATAAGTAAGATAACAAGTAATTACCCTCCGTTCTCTTAATTGAAAACTCGGCCCAATCTTTTACTAAAAGGATTGAGCCGAATACAAAGATTCTATTGCATGTATTTTGGCTAAATACATACTTCTCCAGATATACAAGATTTGAAATACAAAATCTAAGACTAAATCCAAATCGAAGACTCAAATGTTTCTATTGTTGTTTTGGATCCACAATTAATCCTATGGATCTTTAGGATTGGTATATTTTTTCTATATCCTGTAGTTTCCCTGAATCGAGCGAAGTATCACAAATCTTTCTACCCATCCTGTATATTGTCCTTTTCGTTCCGTGTTGGAATAGAACCTTAATTTATTACTTGTTATTAGTTAGTTATTAGACGAGATTTTACGAAAAAAAAATTCTTTCTAGGAGAGAACAAATATTTTTTTTTTGATGCGAAGACATAGGAGAAACTACTCTTTTTCATTATATTTAGAATGAAAAGGGATTCTATCATATTCATATATAGTGAAGTCTTACCCCGGATTCCCACAAAAGAAAATCATTTTTCACACTTATTATTAGTTAATAATGATAGTGAGTGGATTCCTATGTTTATTCTGATAGGAAATTAAGATATTCAAATAAAGAATTTTGGATCGAATGACTATTCATCTATTGTATTTTTATGCAAACAAATAGGGGGGAAGAAAACTCTATGGAAAGGTGGTGGTTTAATTCGATGGTGTTTAAGAAGGAGTTAGAACGCAGGTATGGAATAAATAAATCAATGGACAATCTTGGTCCTATTGAAAATACTAGTAAAAGTGAAGATACGAATAGAAAAGCTAAAAACATTCATAGTTGGAGAGGTCGTGACAATTCTAGTTACAGTAATGTCGATCATTTATTCGGCATCAAAGACATTCGGAATTTCATCTCTGATGATACTTTTTTAGTTAGAGATAGTAATGGAGACAGTTATTCTATCTATTTTGATATTGAAAATCAGATTTTTGAAATTGACAATGATCATTCTTTTCTGAGTGAACTAGAAAGTTCTTTTTATAGTAATCGGAATTCTAGTTATCTGAATAATGGATCTACTAGTGAAGATCCCTACTACAATCGTTACATGTATGATACTCAATATAGTTGGAATAATCACATTAATAGTTGTATTGACAGTTATCTTCAGTCTCAAATCTATATGGATACGTCCATTGTAAGTGATAGTAGTGACAGTTACATTTCTAGGTGTATTTTTGGTAAACATACAAATAGTAGTGAAAGCGCGAGGTCCGGTATACGAACCCACACGAAGAGTAGTGATTTAACTCTAAGAGAAAGGTCTAATGATCTCGATGTAACTCAAAAATACAGGCATTTGTGGGTTCAATGCGAAAATTGTTATGGATTAAATTATAAGAAATTTTTGAAATCAAAAACAAATATTTGTGAACAATGTGGATATCATTTGAAAATGAGTAGTTCAGATAGAATCGAACTTTCGATCGATCCCGGTACTTGGCATCCTATGGATGAAGACATGGTCTCTCTGGATCCCATTGGATTTCATTCGGAGGAGGAGCCTTATAAAGATCGTATTGATTCTTATCAAAGAAAGACAGGATTAACTGAGGCTGTTCAAACAGGCATAGGTCAACTAAATGGTATTTCCGTAGCAATTGGGGTTATGGATTTTCAGTTTATGGGGGGTAGTATGGGATCCGTAGTGGGGGAGAAAATCACCCGTTTGATTGAGTACGCTACCAATAAATTTCTACCTCTTATTATAGTGTGCGCTTCCGGGGGGGCACGCATGCAAGAAGGAAGTTTGAGCTTGATGCAAATGGCTAAAATATCGTCTGCTTTATATGATTATCAATCAAATAAAAAGTTATTTTATGTATCAATCCTTACATCTCCTACTACTGGTGGGGTAACAGCTAGTTTTGGTATGTTGGGAGATATCATTATTGCTGAACCCAATTCCTATATTGCATTTGCGGGTAAAAGAGTAATTGAACAAACATTGAATAAAACAGTACCTGAAGGTTCACAAGCGGCTGAATATTTATTCCAGAAGGGCTTATTTGACCTAATTGTACCACGTAATCCTTTAAAAAGCGTTCTGAGTGAGTTATTTAAGCTCCACGCTTTCTTTCCTTTGAATTAAAATTCAATCAAGTAGAGCACACAAAATTCAATTAGTTTATTTGTAGCAAACAAGTAGTTAGTTTATAAGAATCAAAGTAAATAAGAATGGAGTTTTCTTTGATGACCTAAGATCTAATTGTAGAAAGAATAAAAAGTTGCGGATAACTCTTTTTTTTACCTAGAATCCCGATTACTAATTAAGAAGTCTCTATCAACAAGATAAAAGAGTGAATTCTTCCTTTCGTGAAATTAGGCAAATAAAATGAATTTCGTCTTATGTCTTATGTATATAATCAAATAGAGAAAAGATAGATATATAGTTTTTTATCTTTCTCTATCTCCCGAAAATCCCATTTTCACTAAAAATTCCTGTTGGGTCGCATTCTAACGAATCTTTCGATAATCTGTAAGAAACTCTTTCTTTATTAAAAATTCGAAGACAAGAACAAAAGACAAAGAAATGAAGAAAAATAATAAAGTGAATTATCATACATATCTTTCATGTAGAAAGATGAATAAGTCCATTTATTTAGTTCTACATTCCTTGGACTTATTCTATATACTCACTTAGATATATAGATACTTATTTCTATACTAAGAATTTGAAATTCAATTAATTAATAATAAGTACAATTCTTAATTATAATTATTATAAGATATTTATTTTTTATAAAAAATAAATAATAGCAGGTACAAATAGTAAATCGAGGTACCCATTTTATGACAACTTTCAATTTCCCCTCTATTTTTGTGCCTTTAGTAGGCCTAGTATTTCCGGCAATTGCAATGGCTTCTTTATCTCTTCATGTTCAAAAAAACAAGATTGTTTAGATCTGATGGGACCCAATCTCATCCGTTTTTTTTTTTCAAAACTTAGACTTGTAGCATAACACAGATATCTATTTCGAAAAATATGGTCTAACGTGTAATTTCCGCCGAACATAAAGGAAAAAGTTCTTATGCCTGCAGAAAAGGATCTATGGGTAAATGAATTCTAGCTAGTTTCAAATAGATCAGGATCGCTGGATGGCTAAAATGTAAAGTCGGTGGATCTATAGGTATATCAATATGTATAGTGGGCTCATATGAAGGGTATGTTATTATTTTAGATCTAACCAATTGGATGAATTACTCCTAAAGGTTCACATCAAACTAGTGCTAGTTCACATCAAACTAGTGCTAGTTGATGAGAGTTACTTCGGAAACAAAAAAAAGTAAAGTCAAATTCATTTGGGGTATTCTCTCAATTCCAATAAAATGCAATCAGATCAAGT